TGGAAAGTATGTAAATAAGTTAACCCATTCATAATGCACAGAAATAAAGATTTGATGTGAATTGATGATAAGAACATGAGGGAGTGCTGTAGTTGATTACCAAGGGAAAGGATGAGTTATTAGTTATCTTGGATTTTTCAAAGTGTGACGGGGCATTTCCATTGGTTTTTCCAAGTGTGATGGAATCTCCACCAATATTTCCAAGAGTGTGGACATCCACGTTGATATTTGCAAGCGTGAGGCATTTCCCTTGATTTTTCAAAGTGTGAATAACATTTCCTTTGATTTTTTGAAGTGTGGGGTCATGCCGATGCCGGGATATCTAAAAATGTGAAGCATGCATGGAGAACACCGAAAGAGGGGTTTCTTAAATATATAGTATAGACTACAAGTACACAGCTTCCATGGTCGACCATAAAATTGAACTTACTTTCAGGCATAACCTTTTGTTTGCCCAAAAAATCTACAAAAGTTCTGTCATGTCGTGTAAGTTTGATTCCCCTGTTCATTAGGCATTTCTTTTGTCTCTAGAATTTTGTTGATCCTCATCTCCCATACATTTCCAAACATCAACAACTATGTAGTCGGATCCTACATCTCTCCTAGCTTTCATTAAGACCCACAGCTACTACCTTGAATTGATTTACTCTGTCTCAGCTTGGGACAAGCAGTGAAAAAAAACAGAATGAAAGAAACAACCGCTGCAAAAGGATTCACTGTCCCACGATAATTGGATTCTAAAAGTGCAAAGTTGCAAAAATTCTCCCAGTGTGGCGGGAAAAAAACAGAATCACTCTGCTTAGCACGAATTTACAAGAACCAGTTTGCCAAAGAATAAGTAAAGTTGCATAGTAGTGGAATCGTGCTTAACACGTGCTTCTAAGCATCAGATGGATGGTAAGTACATTTGCACCAACCAACTTCATCCATAGACCAGATAGTCAAAATAAACCAGTTATTTTTATGAAATAGTACGAGCTCAGCCTTCATGAGTAACAATAATTGCAGAGTAACTTGAATGTTCATTTAGAATAAATGCAATGAGATCATACCTGTTAGCTTTAAAAAATGCCGCAGAGAATGGAGCCGGGTCAAGTATCGTTATCGGTAATATCCTCATCAAGGATAACATATTTGGCAGCTCCATTAAAAGTTGAGGCGTTTATTTCTCCATTCCCACTTGGATGACCTTTTTTTATTTTTTGATATCTGAGAAACATGGAAGATACACATTACACTGACGAGTCAAACCAAAAGTTAAAAGTCATGAGATATTGAGATTCCTAAACTAATATCCAAGCATCACCCAAACATCATAAAACTAATTCCGCCCAGAAGGTATTTGGCATAAAATATATAAACAGTATATTAGGTAGTAATCGTAGCAAATGTCAAGGTAAAAAAGAACAGAATATCCATAAAACACGAATAAAGATGTTTGGACTTACTTGTACCAGTTGAATAAACTAACCCCAACCATTATTGTGAAAAGCCCAATTCCTTTCAACCAGGTGAACTGGTCATGGAAGTAGAATACAGCGACCTGAAAAGCCCTTTCATTAGTTTCCATAAACCAGATAAGCTACAAATGATTTCTTAAATATGTGAAATGAATCTTAATCACTGGCCTATAGATATACAAAGAAATAAACAAGGACATGAAAGAAAAATAGTGAACATCAAATACAATATAACAGGTGGAAAAGACAAGGGATCTAGAACTTCTACATAATGAGCGGTCGTTGTTACAAGCATTGGCAAGTATACTGCTAAATACCATTCACAACAAAAGATCTTCTAGAGAAACGTTTCATGAAACACTTACTGGATGAACTAAATACGTGAAAAAAACAACCACTACATTTTATGAATTCATATTTTAAAATTTTTCACGCAAAGTACATTTCAAGAAAGATATTGAGATCTGAAATAAAATTTAATATTTTAAAATTTAAGCATTGCAAGGACTTATTATTTCAGGCTCTTTGCTAAGATACTGCTTTCTAACCAGAAAGCTTTCATGCTCCCTGACACATGTAGAACAATAGGACATCAATATTAAGATTCAGACTTAGTTCATCTCTAGCAAGAAAGCTGTTTTAATTTTCCTGCAGCCAGTATATTGATATTAATTGTTTGGATTTTACTTTTGAGTCCTTAAGTCCTCTAAACTCTCTTAACATTTAAACATTTTGTCTTGTTTTACTGATTGGAAAAGGGTTAGCTACTTTTCATTACATAGAAGAAATCTTTTCTTGTTGCTTCAGCAGTCCAAATTTAACTTCATAATGGAAGATAATAACTCAAACTCCAAGTCTTCGAATTTCACATCCCTAAAACCATGTAATAATATTCACACTTATTTCAAAAGACAAATAAACAGCAACTAGAAATGGGAGAAATTAGATGATATTGCAACAGGTCATTAGTTCATCCATGCAGGCAGAAAAGAAGCACAAACTGTTAGAAACCTCAAGCATCAATAGACCAGAAGAGGCAAATTATACCAAGATAGTGACAGCTTCCTTAACAATACCCGCAATTGTCACTGTTACTGCACTAGTTGCTGAAACAAGAATATATTCCGTCAAAACCTGCAAAATAAAGGAATTTTTTCACAAAAAAAGATACAAGTAGACAATAGCACTCTACAATGACTACGGAAACAACTGATAATAAATTATCTTACAAGAAAATTTCACTATACTACTCTTACCATAAAGAATGCCAATGCTCCTCCCAAAAGCATAAGTAGGAAACTTTGTATTATGTGGCTTGAATTATCGAAGTACTTGTTTTTGCTAAGATCATGCCAGGGATCCAGCATAAGTGAGCAAAGTGCAGTAGTCACTGCCATTACAGGAGTAACATAGCTCATCAGAGTGATGGGATTCTTCAAACCTGCATAAAATATACCAGATTAAAATGAAATATTCATTGGTTTTGAAGGGTTTTTTCCAAAAAACCGGTGTGAGACAGACTCTTATACAAGAGGCAAACTCTTATATTACAACTCTCAACTTATTCCAAATCTCATAGACCCTAATTCATAAGGAAGTAATCACGATTTGACCTCAAGTTCTCTATGTGGAAAGTGGAAACACATATTGCTTCCATTAAGTTATTGATGTGTATTAGCACACATGTAATAAGCTTTCTATTTCACAATCAATAAGTACATGAACATGGTGCATTTCTAATTGCAATGTATTTAAAAGAGCTCGGGAATATAACTCACCATAGACCTCTTTCTTGATGTTGCATCCGGACATCACATGCAAGGAAATGAAAAGATGATTTAGGAAAGAAAAGGCTAATAAAAAATTGCAATTGGTATACCTATATTTATGACCTAAAAATTTTAACCAATAGTCATGCTGATCAACGGTCCTACAGGCAGAATTTCATGACAAACCTGCAAAAGAATCTGAGTCATGCACCACCGGAATCCTGACATAACTGCAGCAAGCATGACGAAGAGGAATCCCCAGAATTCAAATTGAGTCTCCTTGGCAACTGACACATATTTCCATTAGTCAAGACATTCAAATATTACACATAAAATTGCAATGATTGCATTTCGTATAAAGCTCTATGCAGCCGGAGATCCACAAAAAAAAGACATTATTTACATCAATTCACCTTCTCTAAGTCAAAGTTGTAATGAGCTCAAATAAATCATTTCTGAGAACAGTATTGGTTCAACAACATATAGAATACGTATCTTTTCAATATTCAACAACTACAGATAAACATAACTCTCCTTTCTATAAGATTTCCCCCTAACCAACCCTTTGGACTTCTAAATATAGAATTAAAAAGTTAAAGAGAAGCATCCCAATATGAGCAAAAGACGGATGTTTTTAAGAAATTACACTGCAAAACAATCAAATGACCAAATAATTTCTCCCTTAAATGAAGCAATTCCTAGACCCTCTTATCTCCAAAGATAAAGTTCTCAATCAGTTGATCCAGCTTGTTTCTCATGCATGATAATAAAAGCCAACCTCTCAATCAGAGTTTAACTTATCCATTCAGCTATGATCATTGCATGCAACCAGATGCTTGACATATGTGCGCAATGTTCATAGACAAAGATATTTCTTTGACATATGTGCTCAATGTTCATAGACAAAGATATTTCAAAAGCAAGAATGTTCATTGAATGAAAAGTCTGTTATTTCTTTAACTCAAATTTAAATGAATAACGAGCTACCACACTTGGAAACAGCCTAAAAGCAAGCGTACTTGAAATGATAATAGAGCCTGAATTACACAAAGACTTGCATACATGAACACGCGTTGTGTGCATGCAAACGCAGATCTACTAAAGCTTAACACCATCTTGAGAAAGTAACTTTCTCCCCCTTTAAAAGGGGATGACTGGAGTTTCCCGCCTTCACCCTCAAAAGAATCATATACATTACGAGAATAGTTTCATTTGTAGATCTATTATGAGAATCATTTCAAGCTCTCCTCTCAAAATAAATTACCAAAATAATAACAACTAGGAATGCAATCAGTTCTGGAAGTACCTGTTAAAAGAATTCCAGAAGAGATGACTACTATGATACCTAGAAGCTTAAAGCTTGGACTCTCCAACCTGCGAAGGTGAAAAGAATAAGACTATAGAACATAGGTCAAACATAGCAAGTTACAAGTTGAATAAGATGACATGAGTGACTAAATCTGCTGAACATTGTATCTCAAGAAATAATCCAATAACAAGTAGACATACAGAAGACGAGGATGATAAATGTAAACAATAATGTAGGAAAATTATTAAATTTTCAATATTTGCCCCTTGAAGCTTTATATTTCCCTCAAATGATTGAAGTTGCTATTAAATTCTTCAATTCTTATAAGTTATCTCAAAATTAGTCCCTCAAAACATTGAAACTGCTATTAGGTCCCCAATTCCTATAAGTTATTTCAAATTAATCCCTAAAATCACTAGTAGTAGCAAGATAAAAGAATTGGAGTACCTAATAGTAATTTCAATAATTTGAGGGACTAATTCAAAGTATTAAATCTTTAAGGGACTAATATCGAGAAAAAAAAACTTAATTAAACTAAGATTTTGACAAATGAAAATCGTCCGAATATGTCAAATAATAAGCATGATGTAATAGTGCATTATGTCAATTACTCTAACATAGATAGTGATACTCAAAATCAAGAAGCTTCTTAAGAAACTTCATATTCATACGAGTATACGAGTTTTAAGTAAAAGAAATGCTAATTCATTTAAACTCACCTAAATGCGAAAGCAAACACCAGGAGAAATATCGGTGCTGCAGATTTGCACTGCAAAACAACATGGAACCAAAGATTATGAAGATGCACAACATATACCATTCATATATAACCCAAAAGAACGAACCATTGTCGCACAACATATACCATTCATATATAACCCAAAAGAACGAACCATTGTCGCAAATGTAACCGATATGAAAACAAGGGACTCATTGCTCAGGTTTACATCCAAAAGAACGAACCATTGTCGCAAATGTAACCGATATGAAAACAAGGGACTCATTGCTCAGGTTTACATCCAATGCAGTAGCCAACCCCGTAGGCACAACTGCACAGAATAGAACCCCACAGTAAGTCCTTATTTTTATACTTTTCCAATTCAAAGATCAAATATTTCTAAAAATAGACACGTAAGTCCTTATTTTTATACTTTTCCAATTCAAAGATCAAATATTTCTAAAAATAGACACCTCTAAAGAAGTAATCCCTCCATGTCATACTTTTCCAATTCAAAGATCAAATATTTCTAAAAATAGACACCTCTAAAGAAGTAATCCCTCCATGTCATCGTCCGGTCGCTTTTATCTTTAAACCGAGACTGGTAAAAAACAATGGCGTTGGATATCACAGCTTGCATCCCAAAATGAACTGTGTTCATCATCAAAGGAACCGGAAATTTTCCCAGATGGTCCCCTAACAATGTCTTATTATACCTAAAACCCAAAAGCAGCTATAAGTTTTAGGAAAAGGGACCAAAACATTCTAAAATTGGTAAAGAATGGGGATAGATTACCACAAACTTACAACGTCAACAGAGTACTGAAAAGGTACCAAACAAGTATAAAGAACAGAGTTTTGAGCACCATTACAGAAGAAATCGAGCTCAAATTATCGAGCTTCTCTCGATTATCGATTTCTAACGAGACGTAACCTTTTCCGTTACCGTTCATGGTCCCTTGACAGAGTCCGCTAGATCCCGTTCTCTCGGACTCCAATAGATCGATATCATCGGAATCTTCGTCGGTGGCGGCGGTGATGGGCTCGATCCCGTGGGGATCGTCGCCTCCCCACCGCGAGAGCGACGGTTCTTTGCGTAGCGCCGGCGGCGGGCTTTGGATCTGAATCTGAACCTCGTTTGATTCGCTTTCGCCCATGGATCGAAGGACGATAGTGAAAAAGATTGGATCTTTTTCGTGGACTGAGAAGTCAAGCGAGATTTCGTCGGTGAAAGAGATAAGAAAGAGAGGGGGGGTTGACAAGGAGGCAAATTTTTAGGAGGGTCTCAGAAAATGAAATTGGGATTCAGGGTGTTTTTCTAAAACTATTTTATTTATTTATAGCTCCACAAAATCTGAGTCCGACTTTGATCAGGAAAATAAAATTGATGGGATAATAGTTTAGTTTTGGACATTTGAATAGTAATTTAGTCAGGAGACGATGTAGTAGCCATCAATTTTGGAGTTGACTTTTAGATTTTTCTTTTTCTTTTTTGGGTTACTAATAGGATAGAGATTTTCTCTATATGTCGGCAATACAGTGTTGAAAATTTATTTCTTCTCTCTTGTTACAATGTTTTTTTACATCTACTTCTCTATACTTAAAAGATAATCCAAAAGATTATTGTTCATGTTATGGCAAAATGTTGCCGTAAATAATGTAGTATGAACAGTAAAGCACATATGTTCATTAATACTTGAAGTTGTTGTTCATACTAGTATTTACTGTACCATAAACTAATAAAGCAAATCAAATGTATTAAAACTTGGATCTTTCTTTAAGTATAGAGTAGTAGATATGATATCTAAATCAAATGTATTAAAACATGGATCATTCTTTAAGTATAGAGGAGTAGAAATGATTTCTAATTTTAATAAGCATACAATAATTAAATCAAATGTATTAAAACTTAAATTGATGTATCAAAAAATTTATCAGGAATATCACAGAAGAATTTAGATCAGTATATTTTGCTTGCTGGTTGAAAGTAACAGTTGAGTATAATAATGTAAATGTTTTGCTAATATCTACACACAATTATGTGTATGTTGCTTGTACTTGAATCATTCCCTGTTACAATCTTATGAACCCTCAATTATGCATGCAGCTAATATACCTTTGCTTGTTTAGAAAAAGTCATCTCCATACAAAAGATTCAACAAGCCACCCCCCTTATTATTATTATTATTATTATTATTATTATTATTATTATTATTATTGAGAAAGAACAATCTCAAGTCATCGGTCACGTAAACAAAAATCTCACCTAAAGAAGAATAACCTTGCTTTTCCACAAGCATGCTTATATTGAAGGCAACGGGAGTTGTACCTAACAACTCAAGCCATGGACACAAAAGGTTCACGCACCAAATTTATACAAAATGAGCTAGCAGGTTGATTTGACAATATGATACGCAATATATCTTGATTTATTTATTTCAAAAGAATGAAAGAATGTGAGCATATACTCTCTTACACTGTACTGAACCAAACAAATACCACAGCTAAGTACGACGATACGGGGAAAAAAAATGAACGAATGTGTGTGTATACTCTCCTTCCTAATTTGCACTGAACCGAACAGACCGCTGCAACTGCCAACTACAGCACAGATACCGCAACAGACACCGATACATCCCCACCGGCGAAGCTCGAGTTCTGCCTCATTGCGTGCTCACCACCCGTCGACACTGCCATCTCCGATCTCTGACACATCTTAACCAGAGACGCCGCCTTCCTCCTCGCCCTCTTCGTCCCCGTCAGCAACAACGTCTGGATCAACCTCCTGACTGCTGGCGTTTTCGCAATTTTCCGTGTCAGCCCCCCTCCGTTTTTGCATATCTCGTGCAAGGTTGCGACGGCGTTCTCCTTGGACTTAGGGCTCCCCCTCTTCATTAACGTCACCAGGCTTTTAACGGCCACGTCGTCTCTACCAACGATCTCTGCTACGGTTCTTTGTCTCACGAGCAACGCCAAAGCCCCCGACGCTTCCTCGCTGATTTCCTCCGTCGCCAACGCCTGCACCAAGGACCAAATAGCCCCTGACTCCATCAGATCGACGCAGCATTCCGGATCCGTTGATAGGTTGAAAAGTGCGGCCACAGCATCCTTCTTCCCTCTCACGCTTCCGTTTCTCAATAGCTCCGATAACGCCTCGACCGCATTAGGCTCGTCTACGATCCTTCTCTTGAGGTTATGAGCTGATGATAAACTAAACAGAGTAGCTGCCGCGTTCTCTCGCGCTTCCATTGTCGACGCGTTTCTCAAAACACCGATAACTGATCTCAAACACCCTTCTTCTTCCATGATTATAGTCTTGTTCTTATCAAGTATCGAGAGGTTGAGCATCGCGGTAACTGAATTCTCCTGAATTTTAGGGTTTGACGAGGATAAGAGCTTCTGAAGGAGCGGGATGGCTCCTTGCTCGCCGATGCAAGCACGGTTAACATCACCGTTCTTAGCAAGAAGTCTCAATTCTTTAACGATAGTGGTTATCTCATCTTCGGACCCGTTAACCAGCTTTCCAACCAGGATCCCCGATGTCGCTCTGTTCGCTTCGATCGCTGCCCTGCTGGAAGAAGCAGCGGCTACGTTCTCATCTAAAGCATCAGAGCCTACCGCAGGTTCATAATGGATTCTTTGAGCGGCGCACCATTGAGAAATTAGGGTCCTTAGAGCTTTGTTTGGTATCAATTGGGTATGTGCAAGGATTTGGCCAGAACTGGGGCAAGTGTTGTGCCCTTCTTCAATCCATTGAGAGATCGATGAGCGGTCGTAAGTCTGACCCGTCGAAATGATCACCGGGTCTTGCATCAGATCTAACGAGATCGGGCAGCAGAAATCCTTCGGAATTGTAACCGAAACGTCTCCAATCTTCTTAGGAGGAGCTCTGCTCTTCAATCCTCTGCTTTCTTCGGCCAAATCAAAGAGCAAGAACCTACAATACCGAGTGAGGGCGATGACTCCGCCGAGAACTGAAGGACCAACGGCGGCGTCTTCGTCGTTGTTAAAGATCTGCTCCTCGAGGAAATCGATCTCCGATCTACAGGTTTGAGCATCTTTAATCCCTAACCGATTGATAAGCGCAAATTCGAGATTTCCGCGAGCAGGCGTTCTCCCTCCTCCGAATTCGTCGAGAAAAGAGACGACTTGTAGCCGGAGCAACTCGTCCTCGGGATCTACATACAACTTCGACAGCCTCGCTTGTCGCTGGAGCAACTGGACCTGTTCCCTGAGATCAGAGCCGAGGCCGAGCCCTCCGATCGGCAGAACATCGAGAATCGTGGCGACATCCTGATTCAAATCGTGAAAATTGGCGGAAATTTGGGGGTTTTGAAGCAAAACCAAGAGCCTGCTGCCCTCCGAGCAGTAATCCAAGAGGTGCCTCGACCTGTAGATCAAGATGTAGAGCTCTTTCAAGCAGACCTTGGCGGACGAGGGGAGACCGGCCGGCGACCGCGAATCCACCAAGAACTCAAACAGGGAGAGGAGGACCCTCACCCTGAGCACGAGAGAGCGGGCGTTCTTCCTCTGCAAAGGGAAGGAGGTGACGGGACTCGAGTGGGAGGTGACGAGATCGCGGGAGAACGAGGCTAGGGTTTGGACCAGGGCGAGGTCGCTGAGGTCGGAGGGAGCGAAGAAGGCTCCGGCGCTGAAGGACCTCCTGGGGCGGACGCCGGAGAACGTGGCGGCGTTCTCCATGGATTTCTCCGTCGTGGTCGAAGAATTTAGGGTCAAGGGTTTGGTTTTTTTTTTTTTTTTTTACGTGGCGGCGTTCTCCATGGATTTCTCCGTCGTGGTCGAAGAATTTAGGGTCAAGGGTTTCTTCCTTCCTTCGCGCTTTTGTTTTTTGGGCCAAGGTCGAAGGAAGAGAAGACGGGAATTTGAAAGCGTGGCCGGGTTCGGGCCTGCTTTTTAAAGCGGCGGTTTCCGCGTTTTTCCACGGATGACGTCACCTTCTCTTAAGTCTGTAGGGGTGTTTTAGCCATTTACTATTCTGTTCGGGGGGAGAGGCGTGCGTTGACGCCCGGTAGCCGACACGTGGAAAATAGGACGACGGGGGGGCTCCAGGAGAACACGCAAGCTTTCTCGAATCGGCAGATTCGTTCCGAGGGGAGCCACCCGCGTTTTTGTATGCCCGAGAAGAAACAGGAGGGAAATGTCGGAGCACTGTGTTTTGTATTTTTTTTTTTTTTTTTTTTTTTTTTGGAAAAGACTGTGTTTTGTATTTTACTTCTCGTAGGGAGACTGTATTTTTCGTTCTACTTCTTGACTAGCACGGTAGCACCATTATAAATGTATCGTACGAATGAAATACTGTACGAATGAAATACTGTACTTTCATAATTGTTGATGTATAGAATCACACGGTCAAACGAAAAGAGTTAATTGAGTTGACGAAAGCCCTCTAACTCTCCGAATGTTTGGTCATTGGGTAAATTGTATTTCCCTGCACAAGTAACAAATCGTAAGAGGGCGGGGTGTGATTCCCAGATTATTCCTCCGACGATTAAGTCAGCGGGTGGCTTGTGCGGAGAAGTAAAATGAACTGCATTAGTTCTTAAGTTCAGAGAATGGAGAGAAAACCTTACCCTGTAATGAAAACTAGTATATCCTTTTATAGTAGTGGAAGGATGGTAGGATGGTAACTTTGGTCGAGCATGGATTGGCGGCCAAATCAGCTTCAACTTTACAGTTGTCGGCCGACGAGTGGAGAAGATGTCACTTCGGTGTTTAATGTGAAGTGACAGTGGGTGTGCGGTGCTGATGTGGTCCGATGTGTCATAAATACTATTGGAGACAGAGAAATGATGGCGCCATAATGCATTTAATGACATTTATGACGAAGGGATTGGCTATCAGTATACAAGAGGGGCTCGAGGGTCGAGGCGTTTCTTCACCTTTTTTACTCGTCTGATGATCGAGAAATACCGCCTTTCGAGTCGCCCTCGCAAATTATCGGCCGATTAGTCGGCCGAGTGGAGTGGTTAAGTAATCGACTCAACCGGGAGGCGACATGTAATGCCTTTCGGAGTGTCGGCATGTGACGCCTTTTGAGTCGTCCTCGCAAGATGTCGGCGTATCGAGTCAATCGAGCTGAGCCTCTAGTTGTTTTGAGATGCTGACTTGATTATGCATAATGTGAGACATTTGTTTGTCATTGATTAGAGATTATTTTTCATCACTAAAATGGCTATAACAATAATGCTCATTGATAGATACTTTAAAAAAACTCAATCTTGAAATATCTACTAGCACATATTGCAGGTGCCATACAAAAATAGTAAAATACTTTTACAATTATCTTATACAAGCGAGTTCAAATCCTACCCTCATGTCATGATTTAGAATGTTCTAGAAATAAGAAATGAAAAAAAAAGTAGTGAAAAATCTACTTGTGAAGTTACTATTTCACCCTCTAAATTATGATAGGAATGAGGGAAATGTCCTCACTTTATCCAACTTTCTTCACCCTCACTAATTTTTTTTTTATATATTAACTAGCATATCCGGATGAGCATTGCATGCGCAAAAATATGAAATCGTTATCCACTTAATTTTCTACCATACATATTAGTAAATGGACGGTAACTTGAGTTATGCAACTTTATTATAGAGGTACTAAACTACTATCTAGTAATTTTAAATGAAAAATATTATTAACAATTTTTTGTTGAGGAGAGCTTATTTGAGAATAACGTAATTGGAGTAAATGAATTAGAACTTAAAAATATAGAAACATGAAGAATACTTTACTCTTTAATTATGTGAGTTCTAATCTTCTTCTTATACCATAATTTAGAATGTTCTAGAAACATAAATAAATAAATAAATAAAAAAGAAAAGAGCGCTTCCTCGCTCCGGCACTCAATATTTACCAACATACCCCTCAAATTTCTATTGTAATATAAGTAGTATAGACATAGATTTTGTTAAGCTGCTGTGGCGCGGTGCGTAGGATTCAAAACTGAAGACAGAGAATTACCGTGCATTGTTTTCTTGACCCGCGGCCGGCGACGTGACTTCCAAGCAAGAAAACACGTACCGGTCGTCGTATTTCTGCAGGAAGCATTCCGTGAGAATTTTTCCAACCTCTATGATACAATACACATGATGATCCAAGAATCCAAGGCTTGGGATTAATTGTACATTTTAGTTGTTGACTCGCAGTCGGCAGTGAAGTTTCCGAGCAGGACGGTTGTGAACGCATGACGTAAAGATGTCTTCACACAATTCTTCAAATATTCTTGCAAATAATAGATTTGCATTAAAAAATTTTGAGGGGAGAGCCGTGAAGGAGCTGCATTCCTCCGACTGAATTTATTAATGTCGTTGGGCGCCGTATGTTCTTGTCCGTAGTAAACATTCTAAAGCCTGTGGCTGGCCGGCAGGTTGTTGACCTGGTTCCGATAAATCCCTATATTTTCATCACGTGATCCACCACGCTATATAAAAAGGCTAGTTCCCAAACTAATCTGATAACCTCTTTTTAAAAAGAGCATTCTGATAGAATCCTTACTCGTTTATAACCCAAACCTTACACGGGAATATGGCCGAACCGTCGGTCGAAGATAATGCGGTTTGGTCGGTTCCGACCAAACTCTTCTCGTTCTCTTGTAGGCTGCAAATCTGGGAGCAGCGGCGTGAACCTGGGTTTGAAACTAATAATTCAAACATAAGTTGATCAAGCAAAGCTTAGGAGTGCCAGGATTCAGTTTTTTCTGTCATTTGCAACCTCAGGTCCCATTTTCTCCGGGGAAAGACAGAAAGGGTACCCAAACAGACTACTCGTAGGAATTTTTTGAAATTTACAGACCAAAGTTTGTCCAAGGGCTACACCTCAAGCTAGACCCAATACTTTTTCTGAACATAAACGTACCTGACCACAAAAGTAGTGACAGTACATAAAACTGCATTGCCCTCCAGAAAGGCAACGATGTATTCCACGGTTTAAACCAAATTATATGGGGAAGAGACTATATATAATGTAGAGGACGTCATGATCATGTCGACGACATTATCTTCTTGTAATACCAGAATAAAATTACCAAATTAATCGATTGAGACATGGAAGGAGGAAATAAGAAACGTCCAAATTCTGTGAACTTTTCCACCGCAATTACCCTAAGATAACACCGTAACGACGCCTACAGTCCGCGGATGAGAAGAGGTGGCATGAGACTAGCTCACGCTTGGAAATACTCAGATGAACTACTCCTAAGATATAATTATTGACTGCAGGATATTACTTAAATATCTTTAGACGAGAACATCCAGTTTGACATAACAGAAGAAAAGTTGAACGCTAGAATGGGCCTCCTTGTTAGGACTTCCAGAAAACAATTACATCGGCAGGAATAATCAATATCATGAGGCAGTCATGCAGGAAAACTTGCACACCAGATGGACCTCCTTGTTTAAAATTCTAGAAAACAATAACATCATGAGGCAGTCACGCAACCTCTAACATACAATTAAAAAGGAAAAGAATCCACGATCCTTTTTATTATTTCACTTTCTTGAATGTTGTACAAATTTTCTCAAAGGTGACTAAATTGACAGGAAAAGGGAAGAACTAAGTGAAACTACAGGATAAACAAGAAACAGATGTACATCATGAGACAGCATAATGCGAATGTAACATAGTGTTACCTTGAAGATCTAGCTCAAACATCTTCCACAAGTGACCATTTTCAGTAGATATCGTGGTTTCTGTGTCCTAATTCTAAGATGTGGAAGCTGCAAGGAAACAAACTCTTTAGTTAATTAATGTTCACATACATACAAGCGAAAATTGTATCATCGGAAATCAATGAAACTTGTTGGGAACATGCTATTAAGGTGGGAAGATGCTACACGAGGGTCCACTATTGAATTTCATATAGCGAGCTACGAGATTGCGGCACGTGTCTAGTAAAGTTCGATAGTTAGTACCCACCAGCTCTAAGACTTGTGTTTTTTGTACTAGGGGAACACGTGGCGATCTGATAGTTCCCTAAATTATAGGACCCTCGATAGGAACTTTTTTCAGCTATTAAGGTCAATTTGCAGTATGCAAGGATAGAAAATTGAGCTATAATGGCAAACAAGCCGAATGCGAAAGGAAGCTTTTTACTCTTGCAATGATTTGCACCAGGATCTTATGCAGAACAAAAGCAAGCACCGATGATAAACGCAGGCAAAGGATGTACCTTCCTACGACGCATCCTGGGAACTCGCCAACAGATCAGGCTTCTTGACCTAGGCTCTAATCTCCTGTTAAAGCAAGATAAAATATGAATGCACATTCATTGCTGATTCTACACAGATTTAGTTATAATAATCAGATATATACTTACGCTACAAAAAAATATGTGCATAAATTTGAGTAAGATGAAAGAAGAAGAACATAACATGCCAAGAAAAATATATATGGGTAAATTTCACAAAACATCCGTGAACTTTAAGTGGCTTTGTAGAAACCTCCCTGAACTTCATAACTCATGGAAAACCTCCTAGGACTTTTAAAATTACAGTAACCCCCTGAGCTATTGAAAATTCTCATAAATGATATTAGCAGGTAGAGTTAAAATCTAAACCCATTTTTTCAGTTTTTACCTATCATGGTCTGGTCTGTAAAGGTTAATATAATATAGAAGCTATATTATAGCATAACATTGTCCAAATATTGTACCATGGGAACACATGACAACTTAAAGTCATTGTTTACTTAAGTGAGACAAGTCCAAGAGGAGTTTCTATGATCTATAAAGTTCCAAGGAGGTTTCTGCAAAATACCGCAACGCTTAGGGCTTTTCTTTGGAAATTGACCTTATTAAAAGGGCTGAAAGCCATATCCACTAGTACTTACAGGTTATCTTGTTCAAGCTTCTCAGCTATTGACATTGCCTTCCGCTTAGACCACCCACCCGCTTGTGCACAACCTTCAGCCTGTTGAATGACATGTGCAAGAGACACTTTCCCTCTCACCAAACTTTGTCTCCGTCGTTGCTCTTCACTCTCTCTGCTATGTGATAGAGCAAAGCTCCCTTGGTGTTGCAATGATGATGCTTCCTTGAATTCACCAATGCCATTGATTAGTCCTTTTTCTCCACCATCTCGAGGAGAAGCTGCTATTTCAGTAATTTCACCATGTGTATTAGTATGGATCCGTCCACCATGACTCGAACCAATTCCTTGGTCATTATCTTTGGTGAGCCCTCTCATAAGATTCTCTGATCCCAAGTAATGTGGTCTTTGATTCGGTACAATCATATCAACTGGAAGATGGCCCATATCTTTCTTGGATTCACATCTGATTTCAAGTATAACTTCGGAATGAAGAGTAGATTCAAAAGCTTGTAATATCTGTCCCCTAAACTTTTCTGCCTTGGCTTTATTTGCAGGTGAATTAAAGATCAATCGTGCGGTAGGAGCTTCAAGGGGAACAGAACAACAGAATCAGTGGCTAAACTATTTAATCACAGTAGTCTGAACAAAAGATGAACTGAAAAATGAACTACTTCAAGCATCCTTAGCATGGAAACAAGTTTGATACAATCAACAATAAGCAGGTTGAAAGTGTCACTTTACGGATGGATCAGTTAGTTGCAGGAAAGAATTTGAAAAAAGTAACAAATAAATCACGTAAAAAATAAGTGGTATGCACTAGACAGTAACCAACAAATAATCAAGTTTAAGGATCAAGGTTTGAGATGAGAAAAGAACAAGCAACAACATTTAACATTTGTAAGAAGTAATCAGAAACAAAAATGATGAAATTCCATCCTTGAAAAAATCATGATCAATAAGAACTCAGAATGACCTCAAAAAATCCCAATTATGAAGCCAACAGGTAATTCAAAATAAATGAAGCATCACGAGTCACGACCACTTCTTTACTAAATCACTCATTCCCATGATGAAATCACTCGTTCCTATGATTAAAATAACACAACGCTAACACGTATGAAGTTAAAAAGCTAATGCAGCAAGATTTTTCCCTCCGTAACAAATCATCCATACAGGAGGAGAGAAGAAAATCTCACAGATATAAAAGTTACAAAGAATTTGCATACAACATCAAATTTCATTTGAGCTGCTGTTTTAACTTTATGCATCATGCTTCAGCATTCTTTTATCATTTCTTTCCTCTGAAAGGATAATTCAAGTTCTTCATATCATATCCCACAATTTTCATATGTTATCCCTAAGTTCAACAATTTAATGTATAACTATATCCTTTGTTCAATGCAGTAGGAAATTAATGATCAAATCCTAATGAAAAAGAATAGAGGCAACAAAAATAAGATCTTACCTTTACCAAAGCTGACTGAACCCAGCCTTGACTCCTGAAACAAAAACTGCTTCAGTACATCTGACTGAATATTCTCAAGCACCATTCGCCATATCCTTTCATTACCCTTATGGTTTCTAGCAGACTTACATCCTCCATTTTGATTAGCAGTTTCAATGGATTGCAGAGGACTTTCAGAACCATGCTCAACATTTCTCCTACCATGATGGATGTAGCTAGTCACTACTCCATTGGTGCCTCTGCTGCAATTATTCCCTAACTTGCTTCCTCTTAATTCACTAGAAAGCATGCCCTCATGCTCATTGGCAAAATTCAAATCTTTTTCACCGATATTATTTACGAGCAACGGGCTATGACTTAAACTAGTATGTGCAGAAGAAGTCGGCAGCATATAATGTTGATCAGGAGCAAGTTGAAGCAGTGCAGCTGTGAGCCAAGTTAATTTGTCATTTGACAGCCTCAACTGTTTTTCAGCTTCAGATAGTGTTTTTAAAGCCTGGCGCAGTTTCTCCATGTCCTCCCTGGATACTGAAATCAGCAAAACCAAACAGAAAGTTACATGGTTGCACAAGTTCTAGCTAGCTTTTAGCAGGGCAATAATGATGTCTGAATGAGGCTATAAAAGGCAGAAAAATACAGAGTGTTTGTTGTCTAGATCCAAATATTCTAGGTACCACATCTCTGCGTGCTACAGATTAAAGATAGTTTCAGCACTCACAAGTCAATCGACGAAAAAACTTCCTGCGAAGTTTTTCACGAGTGAATACATAGCTGCCAGCAAGGATATCAGTAATTATTGTAGCAAGTTGTGACATTAATGCTAATGGCTCAACTCCAGTTTCCATAATCTCCCTTAAACTCTTCACAGTATTCACAGTATCCGCAGATAATGCCAAATCAAGTAAATCCACCAGTTTCTCATCCGAAACCAAGCCAACCTGTACGAGTAGATAAACAATATTGAAAACTTTACATAAAAATCTGAACAATAATATCTAGAAGTTAAGATATCCCCGAGAAGACTTTATATGTATTGAATAACATGTCAAAAGTTTCTTAACTAGGCCAATCTAATTTCATGTTCCTTCCATTTTGTTGTCACATCAAAGTTACAAGAGTTTTAACCTAACATGTGCATGAGCAATGTGCACATTACTCTGTAAGATCATGAGAAATAACTGACTATATTATGAAATGATAATCATTGGTGTCTATAAAAAACTAAAATGTACTAGGTAAAAAAATGAAACCAAGAAAAATGATAAACAACTCACAAGTTCCTGTACCAACGGAAGAGAAATTCTTTGCCCAAGCAAACTAAGTTGATCTAGGGTCATTTCAGCATCTCTTAATGATCCATCTGATAGCGATGCAATCAGTTTCAGTGCATCCTTGTCAATCGCTAGGCCGTCACTGGTTGCAATCCATTGCAACATGCATATTATATCTGAATCTTTGATTTTTGGGAAAAAGAATTTCTGGCACCTGGATATGATTATATGAGGCAAATGATCAAGACTCGAACTGATAAGGATAAAAATGACATGCCTAGGAGCTCGATCAATGACCTTTGAGAGGGCGCTCCAGGAATCAGGGGGCAAGGTCTCACAATCATCGATAATAAACACTCTGTAACGTGACGACAATGGAGATAACAATGCCTTGTCAAGGACATCCTCCATAATATTTTCATAGTCAAATGCACTTGCTGCTCCCACTTCCATCACATTTCGACTCTTGCCTAGATTGTGAGAGATGCAAGAACTACATACATCACAAGGTTTCGGGTGGTCCATTGATTGGCAATTCAGAGCTTTAGCAAAAACACGAGCACATGAGGTCTTGCCTGTACCATGCGGCCCATAAAAGACATAAATAAGCCCAACCTTCCTTCTCAATACTGCATTTGAAAGAGCTTGGACAACCAAGTTCTGTCCCACAAGATCTTTGAAGGTTCTCGGCATGTACTTTTGAGTAAGACTGCGGTGCCTACCAAGGGTCCCTCCCCTAGATTTGTGATGGCTACCTGACCTAGCTTCAGATTCAAGATCAGTATCAAGTTCATCCCTTGAGCTATTATTGGCATAAATTCCAAGTTCCCCTGAATAGTCCTGCACCAAAAAATGATCCCCAGTGCTTTCCTGAGATCCTGGAGGCTCAACTAGCAAAGGTAATGCCTCCGAATCAGAATCAGTAGATGAAGTCAAGGGATCAGACGCAACAGGCATTGTAGAAGCATCCTTTTGGCTCTGGGGACATGAACCCTCAGCTTTCCGCAGCCTTGGATCAGACAGACCACATGATAAACTCCTTCCTGCCTTATCGAGAAATGTTTTACCTCTATGATGAATTCTAGACCAGTTCCATGGAATCCCACATCCATTTCCAGGAGCTCGACTGACGTCCATCTCTGTATCCTCTAATTGTCCATCCCCCATATAAAGTTTACCAGTACCTTGAACAGAATCTTGAGCTAATGACTTTGAATCGACAGAAGCACGAGGTTTCCTCACACCTCTAAACCTGCGCCTTTTCATCCGTTTCAAGCCCGTGCAGTACACATGACCACTCAATTCCGGCTCCTCTTCTATATCCTCTTCCATCTTATCCTTCCTATGTCCACGATGGCCTAAATTTCTCCTACTCTCTGTATCTGTCTGGATCGGAGCTTCATCCAACTGCTCCGAGAGTGTCTTACTATGAACTTTTTTGCCTTTACTTTTGCTGGGTTTTCTCCCATCCTCTTCCTCCTTACTAACCTCATCATTGACATAACTCGTTTCTTCAGCAGCCACCTTTGAAGTGGCAAAACTGGGTGCCCGTGGTGAGCTCACGGACAGCCGTCCAGCCTTACTCTCCCTTCGTCTATCAACACCTATAGATCTCCTCCCACTATGCGTCAAACCATCTCTAGCAGCACTTATGCCTAAGGTACTAGAAACTGAAGGAGAAATCCAAGAGGGAGGAGGGCTAGCAGAAGGGTCTCTAAGCGACCTCGAACGCTGGAGCATGATAAGATCCCTCATAAGGGACCTTTCGGAGAGCATCGGGCTGTGACGGTGCATGTGGTTCTTCAAATGAATGCAGTTAGTCAAGTGAACATGGTCCCTGAGATGGTCACTGAGTGGGAATCCAACAGAAGCAGCATCATCTTTACTGAAGTTGCGGTGAATGACCCGGGTCATTATCAGGACAACCTAAGGCTAACGTCACAGCGTTCAGAATGTAAGCATTCAACACGAGAAAAGCGGAATAAGAGGATTCATCCGTGCAAAATTCCATCTTTTTGCAAGCATTTCATCCATTCCCCTAAAAAACCATCCCCTTTTCATGTAAGAAGCGACTAAATTACACACCTGAGTACAAACACAAAGCCTAAAATCAACGAAGCTAAAAGAGATTGAAGCAGAGACACTTCAGTTGAACTCGAATTGAGATCTCGAGTCTTCTTCAATCTCCTATTACAAAATTAGATTATAAAAAAAAGTGCTCCATTTTCAACGCAACCAACGAGATTAAAACAGAGGAAACTCACTTGAATCTGGAATCGAGGACAAAACCTAGAGCTAACCCTAAGCCCCCCGATCGAACAATCAGCAATCACTCTCTCTCTCTCTCTCTCTCTCTCTCTCTCTCTCTCTCTCTCTATCCCCAGAACTAAATAGATCTCAAGAGTCCCCTTCAATCTCTCTCTCAAACTTTCCCACCTTTTTTTTGAAAAATCCCGTGAAAAAAAAGAAAAGAAATAAAAAAAATCACAAGAAGAAGCTGGCTAGGGTTTGCTTTTGGAGGAGGGAGAGAGGCGAGGGCGGGGGGGCCAAAGCCCGTGCTCGGTGTCGACAAAGGCGGTGCTTTTGCGTCGAGAGATAGAGGGGGGTACGAGACGATGGTGATCTTACGCGGACGTCATTTTCGGTGCACCCACATAGGTAACCTCTCAGCAACAGCGGGACCCACGTGGTTTGTCCTCTTATGCGGGGCTTGAGATTGGACTCGGGTTATCTGGTCGTCGCTTTTCGTACAAACGGTCTTGGGAGCAGCCTTCGTTAATAATTATAAAAAGCTTATGTTTGGATCTCATTAGGATTAGATTAGATTATTAGGCCCTTTAATTGCATAAGCGAGCTATCTGTGTTTGGTAATACTTTAATGAATTTTTCTTTTATCTTTGGAATTCAGGTCCTCTCCAATCGGAGAGAATCTATTCCCCCTAATTATTGATGATCATTCCTAATTCGAAGGACATAGGATTTTACTGTCGTGGGCTCGTGACAGTGATTTTCAAGACATAGTTTGATTGAGAGGATTTATAATCGTTTTTTTTTATAAGTTTATCTATCTTTTATTTTAAAGAAAAATGTCTCACGGAACCGAAAATGAGACAAATAGAGGGTGACAGATGAGGTGCCCACATCTGATTGCATAATTAGCTGGTCATGACCAGCTCATTATGCAATTAAGGGGGGACACCTCACCTATCACTCCCTATCTGTCATTTTTCAAGATTGAGTGGGGTGAGTTTTTTTTTTAATTAAAGCAGAATTGGCATTCAATTCCTAAGAGCCGTGTTCAGAACGAAAAAAAGCAGTAAGGAAACAAAATCATATGAATAATATAAAACTATAGAACTCGAGTATTTTAAGGTTTAAAAGCGTCTAGCACTAAACAAGTCGCTTCAATAGACTCTAAAGATGAATACGAGGTAAACAATATTCTATTTCTCTCTTGCCACACAAAAAATAATACATAGTGACGTGATATGTAATGCATATTTATTCCAAATAACGTCTCGTTGTAGATATCCAGGCTTCTGATTGAGGAGAATTATAGAACTATAGGGTCGGTTTGGCAAACTACACAAAACTGGGTCATGACCAGTCCTGACCCAGTTTTGTGCTACACTGGTTTTCATTTAGACCAGCACTCCCTGGTCCAAAAGAAAACCAGTTTAATGGCACTATTAACCTATAAAAACAAGGTCAGATTTGACCCCATTGTTTGCCAAATAAAAAATCATTCAAAACTGGGTCAAGTTTGAACATGGCCCAGTTTTGAGAGATTGTCAAACACACCCGTAAAGTTTGAGCATGATACTTAGAGTAGATATTTACAAGTACATATCTAAGATGAATAAATCCGTGAAAGAGGGATTCCATGAAATGAGGTTTTAATAGTACGCTGCCCCTAGTCTAGCTAAAAGAAAACAAATGGGACCCAAGCATAAATAATGAATGTTGGGAATTTTGTCCAAACTGTTAGCAGCCAAATTGAAACTGATGACTAGACTTGACGGGTAGAGGTGAGATCGGGTCGGGTACGGTTCCGTTGCGACCCACTCAAAAGTAACAAATGAGCGCATGATTAGGTTTTGATGCATATGGATTTGACGTGTGCTGTCCCTTACCTAGATTGATTGCTGATTGGGAAGCAGAACCGTATGGGTTGTTTTGGCATCTTTTACAAAAAAAAATTTCAACTTTAAAATAAGGGCGAAATAGCACTTATATTTCATATTGTTTCGTCTACTTCTCACTTGTATTTGGCTTTGATAGCAAAAAAATACCTTAAAATTTTTTAAACTTACACTTATATGCCCTCACTTAATTTTGCTAGCAATTATATACTCTAAAGTTATTAAAACTTACACTATATATATCCTAAACTTGTTAAATCAGACACTTAAATACCTAAAGTTTAAAAAACTCGCACTTAAATACCATCAAGTTTGCATAACCGATGGTATTTTTGTGCAAGTTTTAAAAAACTATAGGGTATTTAAGTGCTAGTTGTGAAAACTTTAGGGTATTAATTAAAGTGCCGCAAAAAAAAGTCAAGGTATATAAGTGCAAGTTTAAAAAACTTTAGGATATTTTTTTTGCTACCAAATACAAGTGAAAAATACATGAAACAATAGGATATATGATTGCTATTTAGACTTAGAAAAAGTACCCATAAGCTTTTTATACATATTCAGATGTAGTTATTTGTTTCTCAGCTATTTTATTAGTACTCGTTACATCCGAGTTTTCATTTGGGAAAAGTAAAATTGCGTGTATAATCTTCGTAAGTGAAAATTGAGTAATAAACAAGGGGGTTATCTTTTATTCGACATAGCCACCTTAATTATTTAGATGATAAATAAGTGGAAATTACAGAAAATCGCCAGAATTTCGAAGGATAAGTAAAATCCTTTTGAGTTTGGCACATTTAATTACAATGAGTCGCGATGTTAACTTATTTTGCATACATGAGATTTTATTTTGGATTTACAAATTTTATTTGGATTTTAAAGAGTTTTTATGCATTGGGCTTTGGCGGAACATATTTTAGACTTTTTGCTTACCCATTAAGACTGTTTAATAGAATTTCCAATATTAGTGGAGGATTTAGTATAAATTTAAAAGTCTCTGAAATTTACTTGATTAATTTCATAAATTCATATCATTGTATATTCAAATTTTTAATGAAGAATTGAGTCAGTGACACAAATTCCAAGATTAATTCGTCAATTATTTATGGGAGTTAAATAAAAAAATTTCCAATGACCCAAAATATGGAACCAACAGGACGGACAGGTGAGGTGTCCCCCTCCTACTGCATAACGAGCTGGTCATCATTAATGATGACCAACTCATTATGCAATAGGAGGGGACATGTGAGCTTATCATTAATAATGACCAACTCATTATGCAGTAGAAGGAAAACACCTCACTTGTCCCCTCCCCTATTGGTACCATATTTTGGGTCCCTGGAGCAAAGCTCGAGTTAAATCGGTTTTCAATTATTACCCTCCTATGTCCATGCCTAAGATTTATTACTGTGCCATGTGCTGAAGAGTTCAACTATTGAGCTGTTCTTTTCATACATCCAAGGAGTTGTATGCTCACATTTATTAGCTAAAATATCTCTTTTGTGGAAATTGTTTAATGAATCTCATCACTTTTATCCATAATTTGAGAGAAACTACTTTTGCTACTATCACGTGCATATAAATAATGAGATACAGTCACTCAGAAATCTTTTTTTTATATATATTCTTGTATAAGAAGAGCATAATTTTATTGTCTAATCAACTTGAACATGAAACATATTCACAATTATTTATCCTCTACTATAGCTTCAATGACGATAAAAGTAATCTATAGTTGTAACGACATCATTCAAATCTGGGAAGGTATTCAATGATCCCAATTATTGTGTTAATTATATGTTAAAAACGAGTATCAATATCTAATAGATTTAAAGATTTGATTTTGATCTAAAATTGACATCTTTTTAATGCATCACTCATATAAGGGACGAAGCTTCGTTGACAACCACTAAAAAAGAAGTAAGATCAGCTAATTAGGGGCTGTTTGGTTGGTTTCTTTTGCCACTGATTCCATGCCAAAACTGACAGCTTGCTGTCAGTTTTGATAGATTTCTTGCCAAAACGTCATTTTTAGGGGCGTTTTAGTAAGAAAGCTGTCAAAACTGGCAGCAAGCTGCCAGTTTTGACAGGGAATCAGGGGCAAAAGAAGTAAAACAAACAGCCACTTAAAGACTACAAATACAGCGTAATAAATAACTTCTAGACAGACCTAGCCAAAAGTAAAGTCATTATCCAAGATACAAAGAAAAGTACATTAAGATATAAACAAATGAAAAGGATAAATGATTTTAGTATGCTTTGCATGTAGCGTCTAATCTATGTTTTTGTCCATCTTATGATAACAAGAATATTTGTTTCTTTGACTACAAACACTTTAGGTGTTCCCTTTGCTTTGTAGGCTACACAAACAATTCGGCCAAACCACGTGCACCCATGCACGCTCTATTGACTAGTTTGCTTTGAACAAAGCTAGCACCTTAATAATTGTCCATTTTGCACTCCTCGTCACATATGGTTTAGGTTAATTGCAAAAAGATCTATGTAGAATCACCCGATTGTAAGGAGGGTCCATATAATTCTAACGGTTGCGAATAAATCATAACCAGTAAAAAATATTCTTCATCAGGGATTGTGCTCAAATCTCATATAACTCTATCATGATTCATGACTCACAAATACCCACTGTATTACCTAGAATCACACCATGGTCTTTACAAACATGTACTCGTATTTCCCTTTCATGACAAGTGTGGTACGAAAAGTTTTGAAATTTCAAAATATAATTGTGAAAGTTAGCAAATAATGATAGCTAGCAGTATTGTCGTATAACATTTAGGGGGACATTGCTTCTGACCCCCAATTTCCTTACAAGTATTCTCTCCACCCCCGCAAGGCTTTTTCAACACTCCCAAAACCCTAAAAAACAAAGTCACAGTTCTCTGAGCCCCCAAAACACAAAGCCCAAGAGTTTAAAACATGTGAAGAACATAATATTCTCTCTCTCTCTCTCTCTCTCTCTCTCTCTCTCTCTCTCTCTCGATC